TATCCGGTCTGACCTACGTGGTATATCTTGAGCAATTTGAGGTTCAATTGCTTGATCTCTTTGCTCAGGTTCCAACACTATCGGGACTTCTTCTTGTGGTTCTCGAATTTCTTCGAGGTCTACCTTTCTCCCACTAGTGATAGCAGAAAGAAACTCCTTCTCAAGGAAGGTTCCATTCTGAGCAACAAAGATTTTGTTATCGGATGGACGATAGAACTCATACCCTCTAGTTTCCTTGGGGTATCCCACAAAAATTACTTTATCAGATTTAGGCTCCAACTTACTAGACGTCATGAGACGTTTTACATAAGCTTCACAGCCCCAAATCTTAAAGTACGAGAAACTCGGTTTTCTCCCACGCCATAGTTCGTATGGTGTGCTCTCGACAGCTTTAGATGGAACTCTGTTGAGTGTGTGTGCTGCTGTTTTCAATGCATATCCCCAAAATGATTCTGGCAATGTTGTCAGACTAATCATGCTCCGGACCATGTCTAGCAAAGTCCGATTTCTCCTCTCAGACACTCCATTTAACTGAAGAGATCAAATGTCGATGCTTCCTGGCCACATTGGAGGGGCAAGCCTGTGAGTGGTTCCATAAATTGCCCAAAGGGTCGATCGACAAGTCGAGTGACCTGGCCCATAAATTTTTGGAGCACTTCGCGTCCAGCCAGAGGCAGAAGCTCCAATTCTCACACTTGCTCAATGTGAAAATCCGGAAGGGGGAGCAACTCCGGGAGTTTATCATTAGGTGGGAGAAGGAGGCTAGGGACGTCCAGTGGGCAGACGACCAGGCCTTGATCGCCATGCTCCAAGCGGCACTCCCTCAAGGGGTTGTGCGCAAGGAGTTGCGACAAAATCCGCTCTCGACCTACCAAGAGATCCTAGCCAGGGCAAAGTATCTGGCGTTGGAAGAAGAAGATGACGAGCCACCCGTCCGGAAGGAGAAGAAGAGTGGACAGCCAGTGACAGAAGGAAGAAAGAGGAAGAATTTTAGTAGGGGACCGAACCCTATAGGATATCAGGCGAGCAGACAGCCTGACCATTCGGTACAGTCTGTACCAGCACCTCCCCGCAGTCGGGAAAGCTATAGTGTCCAAGACGCGCCCAAGTACTGTGAGTACCATCGTAACAGCACCCACAACACGTCGAAGTGCGTTAACCTGAAGAAGGAAATGGACCAGCTGATTGCCAGAGGACCGCCTCCTCGGCCGGAGCGGCCAGCACCACGGAACTGGACATGGAGGAGGCCGGCGGCCGCCGCCGTAGCGATCATCGCAGGGGAAGGGCAGGAGGACAGAAGGTGACATCTGGGGAGAGACTGTGACGACCTGGATGAGGAAGAGAGACAGAATCGCCGACATTTGGGATGTCGGTTCATTATGGGTGGCAATACCGGCGGGGACTCAGTGTCCTCATGGAAGAAGTGGAAAAATATGGTGCACGTGGCCGAAGTGCAAAGGCCACCGCTGCCCAAGTGGAAGAAGAAGGAACCGTTGATCTTCACAGATGAAGATTACCCGCCAGTTCTCAGCCCCTATCGAGACGCACTGGTGATAAAGGTGGAGATCAATAACGTGGTCGTCCATCGCATGATGGTCGGTACTGGTAGCTCGGTCAACATCATGTACAACAATACTTTCAAGTAATTAGGGTTATCCCGGGGTGACCTTAAGCTGATCCGTACCCCGCTGTCAGGATTCACGGGGGACACCATAGAAGCAGAAGGAACCATCACGGTGAAGACTGGGGTAGGAGATGGAACCCACCGGCTCTGGCTTGACATGGAATTTATGGTAGTGCAGCTTGACTGTGCACACCATTTGATCCTAGGGCGACCGGGTCTGGAGGACTTGGAGTGCATAATCTCCCCCGTCCACCTGTGTATGAAGTTTGGCACCCCCACCGGGGTAGGAGTTGCTAGAGGAAATCAGAGTTTGTCTCGGTCGTGCTATGTCAGGGCGACCAAGAGCCAGGCATGGGTCGATGAGAATGTCAGCATGATCTGCGCTGTAGTGCAGAAGGAAGAGGGCCGACCCAGGGCAGAGCCGGAGGAGGAGGTAGAAGAAGTCGCCTTGGACCCAGCCAAGCCGGAGCAAAAGGTGAAGGTAGGTAAGACCCTATCACTTAGGCTGAAGGAACAGTTGATGGATGTCCTCCGATCATTCAAAGTGTTATTTGCTTGGGGTCCAGAGGATATGCCCGGGGTTGACCCACGAATCATATGCCACAAGTTAGCAATAGATCCGGCCCACAAGCCGCTCAAACAGAAGAAGCGTTTTCTTTCCTCGGAGAGGAGAGACTTTGTCACTAAGCAAGTGACAACCCTGCAGTCCATCGGGCATATCCGGAAAGTCCGCTACCCGCAACGGTTGGCGAACGTAGTCCTCGCACCCAAAGGGAACACCTGACGGATGTGCGTCGATTACACCGACCTGAACAAGGCTTGCCCGATGGATCCTTTTCCTCTTCCCAACTTTGACCAGTTGGTGGATGAGACGGCAGGGTGCGAGTTAATGAGTTTTATGGATGCTTTCAGTGGGTACCATCAGATCAGAATGGCTACGGCAGATGAAGAGAAGACCTCCTTCATCACCCCCAATGGGGTGTACTGTTACAAGGTGATGCCCTTCGGTCTAAAGAATGCTGGCGCGACCTATGCACGAATGGTCAACACGTTGTTCGCGCCAGTGTTAGGGGGGTGTATGGAAGCGTATGTGGATGATATGATCGTCAAATCAAAGCAGATGGAATCCCATGCTCGGGATTTGGAAAGAGTGTTCAGAATCATGAGAAAGTACCTTACTCCGTAAAATCGGAGACGGGATTGCCCCTCTTTTTGGAACCAAGGACCGCTTGCGAGCTGATCCGTGCGGAAGACATTGTCAGGTGGGGAGTTTGGCTCGGGCGGCACATCTGTTAAAAGATAACGCAGGTGTCCTAAGATGAGCTCAACAAGAACAGAAATTTTCCGCAAACGGAAAAACATTCAATTTGCATAAAGAACACCTAGGATTCGTTGGTTGCCTCGCCGCCGCCCATTCCGCCAAACCCTTATGACGACTTTAGCGTGGCGTCTAAGGCACTTTTATCCAACCGGTTACCAAACAGAGAGGTTGACTGGGATGCTCCATTCCCTATCCACCAATGGCATTATGCGTCTTGGAAGAGCGTGCAAGCCGTGGACTAGCGAGAGTCTGGAATGCTCCATGCCCTTTCCCCTCTTGGAGCATGAAGGAGCATATTACACAAGTCTGGAGCAGTGGACTAGCGAGAGTCGCACCAACTCGCCAGTGCGGCCTAAAGAAGAGGTTGTGGTGGGGGAAGAACTGGGTTCTTGCCTACCACGTCCCGCTGGTCGCTCGCCCNNNCCCCCCCCCCCCCCCCCCTCGGACGACTCCTAAACGACCAAGAGTAGCTTGAGCTGCCTCAGGGTCTCCATCCTCATCTAGGTGATGCTGATTGGGGCTCACAGAAAAGAGAGTCGCCTCCCCTCCTTCTTATGTAGGAGAAGGACGGGGTTTATTCTTGCGGCTAGGGGGCGACCATCTCTGTTCCATGTCGGAGAAGATAGGTGGTCGCTCGAGGCGACTGGTGGTCAGGGTTCTGCCTGCTTGAACAGATGCAGAACTACCCTTCACCTTGTCTTTTCCCTCGTCTTTTTCTTCCTTTCTAGGCTTTGGCCGCGCAGGCTTTGAGTTTTTCCTCTCGAATGTATATAGGATGTATGGATGTTGTTCTCAATTGTATTGGATATGTAGATGCAAAAGATGATTCTTGAGGTGTAATAAATATTTTCCTAAATGTACTTTGATGTTACCTGTCTTCTTGCAAGTCTCATCTTCTTTTCGAGTTGTCTTTTGCACCTTATTTCAAGCATTCAGGTCTCCTCATCCTTTAGTTGGGAAGAACCCCCTGCTTTTCTTGCCTTAGCTGTTCCTGGGGCCTTTTTGCTCCCTCGGCATTGCCATGTTCTTCGCGAGTCCCCCGGTCACCCAGGAGACCGTTGGATCTCATGTTCTGGGACTTAGCCGTTTCTAAGGCTTTTTCGCCGCGGCATCGCCCCACTCTATAGGGCATGTTATCCTACCGGTCGCTCTAGTGACTGTAGATCAAGCACCCACCGATAGCCTTTGGACTTGGTTACTAACTGGGTTCAGCACTTTATCCCTTGATGGGTATCTTAGTGCGAATCACCATGTAGTTTCTATTAGCAATCTCTTTGGTTGCTTCTTTTTTATATAATGAAATTTGAGAAGGGATGGGACCAGGAAATGCCAAAGTGCTGGTTTTATTTAACTCAAAGATGAAACATAACATGAGTACAATCTACTGATAGAATTTGATGAGATTGGCAGCATTCCATACCCACGGGACGTCGCCCCCCGCTGGTGTCTGTAGTTTAAAGGTTCCATCGACCAGTATTTCCTTTATGATGTATGGCCCTTCAAAACTCTTAGAAAACTTCCCCCCGTCAGGCGGCCGACTGACTTCTCTCTTCCTCAAGACCCAGTCGCCCGTTTTGAACTGCCTTGGTCGCACCCTCTGATCATGATACGACTTAACCTGCCGACGGTAGTTTTCTGCCCGGATGTAGGCCCTTTCTCTTCGCTCGTCTATGAGATGTAACTCCGCCCTTAAGCTTTCTTCGTTCTTCTAGGCATCAAACGTTTCCACTCTATGACTTAGCAATGAGGTTTCTGCTGGAGCCCTTGCATCGAACCCATAAGTGAGCGCAAACGGTGTTTCTCCCGTGGCCTTTCTCGGGGTGGTCCTCTAAGTCCATAGGATGTAAGGTAACTCTTCTACCCATGCACTTTTGCACTCCATTATCTTCTTTTTCAAGCCATCTACAATGGTGCGATTTGTATTCTCGACTTGTCCATTGGTTTGCGGGTATCCGACCGTAGCATAGCTATGTTTTATGCCCCAACTCTATAGAAACTCATTGAACCCCTTAGCCTCGAACTAGGTTCCATTGTCAGTGATGATCTGCTGGGGCACCCCAAAAAGGCACAAGATTTGTTTAGACACAAACCTCCTCATCTGCTCCTCGGTGATGGTTGGTACCGGGGCGGCCTCGACCCACTTGGTAAAGTAGTCGATCGCGACCACTAGGTACATGTTATTTCCTGCTCCCTTGGGCAAGACGCCGACCAGATCAATGCCCCACCGAGCAAAGGGAATCGCCGTGCTGATCGGGGTATAATTCGTTGCTGGTCGCCCTGGTACCCTTTGAAATTCCCGACAGACCTTACACTTACGCACGTACTGCACGATCTCTGATGATCGTCGGCCAAAAGTATCCTTGCAGGGTTATCTTCCTTGACATCGTAAAGGCTCCCTAGTGTGCTGAACATATTCCCTCATAGACATCTTAACAGTGTACCATTGTACGATCGCTTATACAACCTACCGCACTCCAGCGTGTAGCTAGGTGCGTGTCGCTCGACGACTTTGGCTGCGACCGGATCTGGTACATGGTTAATTCGTCAATCCAATACGCCAAATTGGCGGTTTAACCGAGGGCCACTGCCGGCGAGGCAACCAGCGACAGAATTCGTAGGAGTCTAGCCCCCGCAATCATTAGAGTCAACGGACATTGGGGAAGAGGCAGGCTCCGGCGAAGAAGGGGATGGCCCATCGGAGAGATTCAAAGAAGTAGGAACTTCTTCAGACATGGCAAAAATGGAAAAAGAGAAGGTGTTTGATGGAGGAGTCAAACGAAGAATGGGGGGCTTATAAATAGCCCCAGGTGAAGAAACCGAAGAGATGGTGAAGTCCCAAGGCAGCTGAACCGATAAAGTAACCTTGAGCAGCGCGATGGTCCAATCAAGGGCTGCATGGAAGGCATTGGGACAGTTGGGCGGCACGACAACTAGTCTCGAGGCTGGGCCTAGACGTGCAGTTGGGCCAGAGATAAGAGTTGGGCCCAGACTAAAGGCCCATCCGTATCCACAAGGTAAGTCAACTTAAAGGAAAGAGTACAGCAGCAAAGCACAAGAAAAGTAAAGGCACGTGATGAATAAAAGCAAAACAACAAACTTGGGAATATTGTATCAAAACACCAAGCCATTCAAAAAGGAAAAATCATAAGTTCTACAAGTTTCAGGGCAAAAAGTACAAGGGGTGAAGAGGGTAAGTTATATGCCCGAGCTGGTGCCTCTGCCCGCCTTGGACGCTGCAGGATTGGTCCCCGGCCCCTGGTCACCTTGCCCATCTTGGTCGCCCTCCGCAGCTGCTTCCTCTTCCTCATCAGAGGCGCTCGAGCTCTCCTCTTCCAAGTAAGGACTAGGGTCAAACTCAGCGAAGGCACGGCAAGGAGGAGGAAGGCCAAGGGCGGGGAAGGAGACTCCTTTGGGAAGCCGAGCTAGCTTGTCGCGAATAACCAGTTGGGCCTAGAAGAGTCCGCAGTTGAAGGACTTCTCTGACTCCTTGACCATCCATCGAGCGCCAGGCCCAGTATTGAGCCACTCGACGACTAGCTTGTTCATCCGCTCCATAGCGACCGCAGTAAACTCAGGGGAAGACTTGAAGGACTCGATTGCCTCCTCCAGGCGACGGGCCTGGTCGCTCTTCTTAGCCTCTAGCTGCTGAAACAGATCAGCCTTCTCTCCTTCCAACGCAGTTACACGGGCAGAAACGGACCCTACTTCAGAAGATAGAGAAGTGTTCTCTATCACCAGGTTGGCAGAGCGACCTTTCTCCTCCTCCAACTCCTTTGCGAGTCGCGCGACCTCCTCTTGCAGCTCCTTCTGCTTGTCTTCTGTAGCCTTCCTCGCCTCGTCCATAACCGCTTGGCGATCTTGCCTCCAGCCGACGATCTCGATCATCCCCAGCGTGGCCTAAATCAAAACTTAAAGAGTCAGGAATATAAAACGGAGGGAGGTGAGAAGGGAGTAAAGGCAAGTACCTGGCTAAGCTTTAGAAGAACCATGTTATTGAGGTCATCCTCAGAACTAGCCGAGATGCGAGCTCGATCCTGAGCGGGCAAGGTGACCAAGGTCTCCAGTTGCACATCCCCTAGACTTGGGGACGGGGGAGGAATGCTGAACCTCATCGAGCGACCCTCGGTCGCCACCTCGTAGATCACTACGGGTGGGGAGGGAGGTCGCTCCGAGAAGGCTCCTTGAGACGACCGTGCCAGGTCGCCACCCAGCATCAGAGAGCGCGGTGGAGAGCTGATCGCCGTCGCTCCCATCTCCGGAGCCACATCATTCCGATCTTCCACTTCAATCACAATCTTTTCTCGCGGAGGGCTATCTTCGCCGCGCGAGGAAGAGCGCTTGCTTTTTCTTTGACGGGTCGCATCCCTCTTCCTCTTCCTCCCCGCAACGAACTGGCCGATCAAAAGCTCATCGTCCATCTCTTTTTCTAGTGGCTCAACTGAAAACAAATGGAACGGTTAATCCCCGGAGGAAATAAACTTGAAATCCCTAACAAAAAAGAAGGAAATTACCAAAGGGACCACAGTCAACGCTTCCCCCAAGAGCGTCTCTTAGCAGGTCAGGATGATGGCGGTGCTCGTCCTGGACAAACTCAAACCCCAACGCTGCTAGAGACTCCTCGGTCACCACCTTCTTAATCTCGATGGCCCCCTGGCCGCAGTGTTTCCAGGTGATGGACAGAAGGGTGGCATTGGATGGGGGACACGGAACGCGACGGAAGGATGGGAGCCCTGAACCCGTGAAAGGAGATTCAAGCCCCGTCGAGACAAAGACGAAGAAGGGCTTCTAGTCCTTGGTCGACCCCTTCTTGTCACTAGTAAAAAGCTTGTTGGATCGTTGGGAAAGGCTGGCATAGGACGCCCAATCCCCATGACCTTTAGCCAGTTTGAAGGTAAACAGGAAGTGGTCAAGGGTAGATTTTACCCCTACCTTCTTGCATCTGACCAAGTAACTAGCGATGTACCGGTGAGATTTGGGGACCAATTGGCAAGGAAGGAGGTCCACCTCGTTGAGGAACTCAATCAACAACGAGTGGAGAGGAAACTGCAGCTCCTTCTTCAGAGATGCCAGATGAACTGTAAAAAACCCTGAAGGAGCGTCCAGGGCGGTTTGGGTGCTAGTGGGCCGTATGACTTCAATAGAGGGTCCAACCATGTTAGTGGCATCGGCAAACCCCCGGTCAGTGATTTGACAATGGCACAATGCCATGATGTTCTCATCCAGCC